TTCATCATGCTGGTAGTTGTGAATAACCACAATAGGGTATACTAAATGATCAGTATCTTGAAAACCTTAAATATCTGTAAGTAGTTCAGATAACTTATTTGAACATTTTTGAATATGATGTTTTAAGAATCCTTTTAAGCTGAAGTATTGATGACAAAAGGGGCAGAGAAATTCGTTAATTAATTTGTTAACAGTAGGACTATACCAATTAAAGAAAAAATATGGCAAGCTCATCTCTGGGGAACAAGCTTTCCCTCCATCAATGTAGATAACAGAAAACTGCTAAAGTATATTGTGTTATCAGGTATATTTATGCTTGCTGCACAAATACCATGTGGTTTTTGTTGAACCAAAATTGGAGGAGAAAAAAAATAATTTGGAAAAAGTTGACGAATTCTACTGTGAAAGGGCCTACAACAACTTGGGTTATCACATTTAACAACCTGAGTAATATAATGACAAGTTATAGTATGTTTTTCTATCCAAGTAACAGGTTTTTCATTCAAGCTTGATTGATAGTGTTCCTCAGGAGGATCTACATATTCAACTAAACCTAGATAACCATCAATAACAGTATCTTCCCACACAGAAGCCAAAATCTCTCTAGCAGCTTTAAAGTTACATTTTTCTAGCCTCTCATCAAATATTTTTAGTTGCTCATTTAAATGTGATCCAAACGTATCATGAAAAAGTATTATACCAGCTAAATCATGACTAAGAGGTGCTATTCATCTTTTAACAGGATTAGATACACTCTGGTGCAGTGCAAAACAAGCCTACCAAAAAATTAATTGCAATTAATTTTTGTCAATTACAATATAAAATTAATTGAAACCAATTAATGATGAAATAATTGCAATTAATTACAATTAAATTCAATTTTTTTTACTATACTGCGTAGAGTGCTGCTTGCTGAAACACAATTTTTTAAATAGTAAAAAATCAAAAATCATATATATTTACTATTAATAATCTTAATGGTAAATATTTGATATGTAATCTAATTATGTAAAATTGCAATTAATTGACCAATTGTGGCTGCGCCACCAATCAATTAAGCTTAAAAAATTGACTACAATCAATTATTTGATAAGACTTGTGCAAAGCATCTATTTTTTACACAGAGATCACCAAAATTCTGGTCAGATCTATCAGATTTAGGCTGGCATTTAGCAATACAAGTCAACTATTTCTAGACCAAAATTATTAGCTAGACAGCTTTACTTAATGAGTGGGCTATGACTTCATTAGTAAAACTTTTTAGTGATCTTGGGCAAAATTAGTTAATTCTGGCCCTACTGACCAGGATTCTGATATATTCCGACCCGGAATTTTGGTGATCCCCTGTAGGAGTTAAACATATCACAATAATACCCTATAAAAAAAATTTTACAGATATATTACGATTTTGTTCTGAACGAGTCGAACCTTTCTCGATCATGTTTCGAACTAAAATTTGCATAATATAAATTAATATATCGATATTGATATTGCTCTAAAAATATTTTCAAGTTTTTTTTTTAAAAAAATTATAAAAAAAAGAAATTTTGAGCCTTTAGAAAATATTCTGGTTTGGAACTTATTATTCAGCATTATTAAGTTATGAAAGCTATTTACATATCACGGTCGATAACATATCCTTGTGTAAGATATGATCATATTATATAAGAAATTTTTTCAATTTTTTTCTTCTTCGTTCCTTTTCATTTTTTTCTTCTTCGTTTCTTTTCTTTTTTTTCATTCGTTCCTTTTCTTTTTTTTCTTTGTTCTTTTTCTTTTCTTGTTCTTTTTCTTTTTTGTCATTCTTTTTTCTTTATTCTTTTTTTTCTTTGTTTCTTTTCTTTTCTTTTGTTCCTTTTTTCTCCATTTCTTTTTTTCTTTTTTTTTTTCCTTTTTTTTTTCTTCGACCTTTTTTTTTTTTCTTTGTCCCTTTTTTTTTCCTTTGTCTCTTTTCTTTTTATTTGTTTCTTTTCTTTTCATTCGTTCCTTTTCTTTTCATTCGTTCCTTTTCTTTTCATTTATTTCTTTTCTTTTTATTTGTTTCTTTTTCTTTTTCTCATTTCTTTTTCTTTGTCCCTTTTCTTTATCTCTTTTCTTTTTATCTTTTGTTCCTTTTCTTTCCTTCATATTTATTTCATTCTTCTTATTCTTTTCATTTTTTTTTGCTTATTTCTTCCATTTCTTTTATTCTTTCTTTTGTTTCTTTTTTTGTTTCTTTTTTCATTCCTTTTATTTTATTTCTTCTTTTCTGTTCCATTTCTTTCATTTCATTGTTTTCTATCCCTGATTACTAATATTATTATTTCTATAAATTTTTCTATAGTGCCTCTACATTATGTGTATTGAAATCACCATAGTTGGAGAATTATTGGTGTTGTTTTGAAGTCGTTGTTGTTGGAGAATCACCAGTAGGCTTCATTCTTTTACACTGTGTTATGTTAGTCACTGCTATAGTTGAGCTGTATTATATTAGAGTCACCATAATTATTCTATTTTTATGTAATATTGTCTTTTCTTTAATATTATTGTTTTGCATAATACTGCATCATTATTAGAGAAATAGTTAGGGTTAGGATTAGAATGATTAGATAGCACAAATGTAATATGAATTAATTCAATTTTTATAAATATATTTAATTCTGATTATTATCAGATTTTTTAAAAATATCGGATTAGTTCTGGAATATGACAGTAAATAATGTTCTGGAAAATGCTCATTTTCTGGAACATTTTCGGAACATATAGATCAGAAATTTTTCAGAAAATTTTCTGAAATAAAAATTCGGAATATTTTTGGAAAATAATAATTAAAAATTTTTTATAGGGATAGTGTCAAGGTCATATTTTACAAAATGTTCAATCATTATCTGAATTGTTTTTTTATAGCGCAGATTCTCATCAGGACCTCCATCAGTTAGTATTAAAATTACAGGCTTAGTCTGACCATCTTCTGTTTTAGTAAAATTATGCAATCTCTCATCATTCATTATGTCATCAAAATCTTTACCATGAGAGTAGGCAGTGCTAGTATCATGTTTGCTGCTATGGATCCTTATAAATGTTGGACCACTATACGTTATTGCTTCAGCATTTCTATACTTACCTATAGTTAAAATAGAAGATTTTTAATATTATATATAATAATATTTTTTTTTTTAATCTTAGCATAAAAGTGTAGAACAATATAAGCCGCTATTTATTCAAAAAATATAAGCGTGACAGAAAGTCTTAATATAAATATAAACAGCCCTTACACAACTTATAAAATTTTAAAAAAAATTTTGCTTTTTTTTTTGATAATATTTAAAATTTTAAGAGCTATTCATAAATAGGCTTGTACTAGTATTTTATTCTTATTATCTTTTACTTACTACCTTGCATTTCCAATATTGCATAGACTGATAGAATTAGTTTGTGTTTTTTAGTGACAACCCAATCATAGTCCGAAAGCTCTACTCTGTATTCCACTTTTATTAGGATTGGTGCTTGCTTGTTTGCTGCGGCCAAACCAAAAGGTATTCTTGCTTTGTCATCCTGAGAGATTGTTAAAACACTTTGAGGTCCCAACAATGATACTATTTCTTTAATATTTCTAACTAGAGAAGCACAAAACCAAGTATCTTTATGCCTTTTACTTGCAGCATTTTGTGACCTTAAAAGTTTTACAAGTACAGTCTTAATATGTCTTTTTCCTTCTTTAGTATTACACCATTTTGGGAGAAACCGAAGATACGTAGTCAAATGTAATAGCCTATAATTAATTTGCTCTAATGCAGCCTAAAGTTGATTCAAGGTCTTAACAGACCGTATCATCTCTAAACGTCTTCGTTCGTCTGCTTGTCCATCTAAAGAAACAAGGTGCAAAATAGCTTCCAACAAACCTGTCTGGGTCTTTTCTAACCATAAGTGGCCAACAGGTCTAATGAGTTGCATATTAATATCTGTTGCCTTTAATTGATCCTCTGTTTGCTAAAGCTTTTGCTTTTTTCGATCTCTATATTTTTGCTGAATATTTTGCTGATTTTCAAGTTTTGATAAAGCCTTTGATGATGTTGAAATTTTAATTTGAATCTTGTTAAATTTTACATGTAAAAAATTAATTACAAAGAGGTAAATTTTATATGATCTAAATTTAATTTTTTACAAGTTTAGGTTGATATTACGAGAAGTTGATATCAACGAAGTTGATATTAATAAAGATCAACTGTATAATAATAAACTACCTTCATTTTTTATCACTATCAGCTTCTGTTATTATACCCTTATCTTCTAGCTCTTGAAGTTGTGATAGCTCCTGATTTAATTAAATGATTTTATCTTTTAACATAGTTTGAGCTGGCGTCTCTTGCTTTTTAGACATAAGACTGTTATCAGTTTCATTATCAGTAGTATTTTCAATAGTATCTTCAAAAATAGTAGCCAGAGAAACATGTGCTGGCTCCTCTGTAAGCTTCAATGCATTACATTCTTGGCTTTGACGAGCAGCTTTAAAAAAAAAGAGCTGTCTCTCTATTTTATTTTTTTCACTCTTAAGTTTTAGCAACTTAATTTTTTTATCTAGCTTATTTTTATCACTTTTTAGCTCATTCCACAAGTTCTGTGCTTCTCTAATAGCATTTTCTTTTTTTTTTGTTGGATTTGCTTCTTGATAAAATTTTAATAATAAAGTATATGCTTCTGGATACGTGGTTTTCTTTTTAGAAGTACTCATAGCAATATATTGCTTTCAGATATTTAAAACAGAAAAATAAGAATTTGTGCTTATTTTTAATTCAATTTTTTTGACTTGGAAAACATAAATAGTGATTCTTTTTTATACAATTTTTATTCTTTTATGCTGCACTATAATTATATAAAACAATGCTTTACATTACTATGTACACAAATAAATATTATTATATTTTTGAATTATTCTACTTGTTATCAACTATCTTGTTTAAATTAAATTTAGTACAATGCGAATTTTTAATAGATTGAAGCAGCGAATTTTTTTATTATGAAAAAGATTTCGTATCTATAGGTTGAAAACGCAATACGTATAACAGATGAGATTCTGAATGCAAAATAGATTTTGATAATTATTAATAATATTCAAAAATATTTTCACAGTATTAAATTCTTGTTTGTTCAATTGGGTAATTATTTTAGCATATAACTTACTTTACAAGTATAGATATCAGACCTTTGGTTTACTAATTATCTAATTTTATGGATACCGAACCCTTGGCATACTAATAGCGATCATAGAATTTTACCATGAAACCGTTATTATTTAGATTCTTAATCTCAAAATAGTTGCCACAATGATCTTTTTAGAATTGATACAAGTTAATATTTAAGACCTGTATAGCAAAGAGCTTGTTGTGTTCTCATGACCAATAATATGTTTTTAAATAATACCATATAATATTGCATCTAACCTGTAAAAACTAGTAAATATTGAATAGCAAGTAAACATGAACCAGACCAACTTATCTCGTATTGTGTAGATTGAAAATTTTCAAATAAATTACTTAATGAAGTTTATCAAGGTTTAGCCATTTTATAGTAACTATTACGAAGATAGGATTAATATCAATAAAAAAATTAAGATTCAAAATAGCAATACTTATACTTTAATATCTTTAAACAAATAATCCATACGGTCGAGAAATATAAAGACCTAATAACGATTATTAATGGTTGTGTAAAAAAATTCTTGACTGAGTCAATTTCAGAATTTATATTAATCGAATTAGTAAATAATAATATTTAAAGAATTATAAGTTTTAAAGATACTTTATTATATATAAGGTAGTGTTATAAATATGTTTTTAGTGTGTATTCTTATAGATTTTATGTATTACATACGCCTTAGTCCTTTTTCTGAACATACTTGCATGTGTTTTAGCTAATTACAAAATGAACAATATATAATCTATGAAAAGTAACAAAAAATGAAGTAATAAAACTATGATAAATTATTGTATTAGGAACGTAATTATAAAATAATATAAATATAAAAAACATTATTAATTTAAGCATTAAAATAAGCTATTCAATCTCATTAATTTATATTTTAATTTTTTTTTATTCGTATTTTAAAGATTTAAAATAAGCTGTTTAAGTTTATGAATACTTACTATATTATTTTATGCCTTATATTTCTTTAGAAGTTTTATTAGACTAACCAGTTACTTATATTTGTGGCTTCAAATATTTCAAATTATTATATTAGAGATGCCAACTGGACCAAGACCTTTTAATGATTATAAATTTAATATTGGTCTTGTGATAAAGATTTGAAAGTGAATGCAACCTAAATTTGCTTCTAAGACTTCAAATTGCTTTATTGAATTAATCAAACAATGCATAGATTCTGATACATAAAAATGACCTTCTGTTTATAGTATTTGGAATAAACTTGAGATTCAGGTGATAAATATATAGATAAAGCATTGCTTAGATATTGATAAAATATAAAAAATTATTAATCATTTCAAATAATTCGGACTCGAATTCGATGTATACTAGCAAAATTATTAATGATAAAAATATTAAAGTATTTATTGTATTGTTATAAAATTATGCAATATTGCAAAGAGTATTTCTAAATATATCGACTAACAAATTTTTACTTTCAACTTACTGTAAATGGATAATATTAATTAAAGGTGTTGTTCAATAGTGAATGTTTATGAATTAATAATTTTATACTTTTTAACATTACTCTCAAATTTCTGTCAACTAAAATTTAATATATACA